CCGGGCTTCTGACAAAACAACCCGGGCTTAAGCCCAGTAAGCCACCCCCACGCTCCGCCCCTGCACACACCACAGAAGGTTCAAGCCTGTTTATTCCAGCTGAATAACCAGTGTATGTTAAGTCTTTCAGGTTACAGGTGGGTTGTGACAAATGCGTGCTGCGGTCAGAAATTAAATGTACTTCCTGCTTGTCAGAAAAACTATTAAAACTCTTCTTCTTCTGTTTTTTCTGCTGTAGGGTTTTGGACAGGCCTTACGGTTTGCGTGTTAGTGCAGTCGATCTTTTTCATCACATTTTTGTGCAAACTCGATTGGAAGAAGGCTGCTGAAGAGGTGCACACCTGCATCTATTGACAGTTTATTACACTTTCACTCATCAAAGCATGTCATTAACTGTTGTGTCTGATCAGGCTGAAGTGCGAGCAGGAGTCTGCGTCAAAGAAGAAAAAGACACGATCAAGATGGAAAATAGAGGTGAGTGGGAAAACTGGCTGAAACATTCCCGTTATTACAGTGTCTTATTCATACTTCTCTTTCCAAACCCTAGACTCTAATCACATCCAGACCCCAATCAGTACTATTGCATCCAGTGGTGAGAGCGCCGGGGTGGACCACGTATACATGGAGGTGCAAATACCAGAAGAGAGTCAAACCACCAACACCACTACAGTGGGAGATGTTCTGTCAGTGTCACAGCTGGTGTTACGGCGCGGCCTAGCGATACTCATCATGGTCCTCATCCTCGCTGCTGGAGTCATTACCAACACCGTCCTCACCCCGCTGCTCAAATGATGTAATGGGTTAAATGTATTGTTGTGTGTATACATACACGCATATTTAGTGTGCACACAAAAAATACCACTTTTTCTTTTATTTGCCTTAATCAATATATCACAAAAAGATATCAGAAATACCAAAAGAAAATTAAAGAATTTAATTTAGCTATCTCTTCTGTCTAATTATGTTTCTTTCACAGAAACTATGTATTAAATAGCATATTTATTTATAGCTAATAGCTAATAATAGTTGTATTTCTGATTTCATATAAGGTTTTTTTTAGTGTTTATTAATGTTTGCTAATTATATGTTTTAAATAAAGATTAGATTCACATTCAGATACATATCAGCCCATGCAATAAATGACATCTTCTCAGACAGTTTCATCAAACAACCAGTACTGTTAATTATCAATGTCCATAATAGCAAATCTAGCACAGTTCGACTCTGAAGTCAGATTTTTTTACCCATCTAATCTTGGTGGCTGTTTCTGTGCCTCCCTCTGCTAACCCCACATGTGACATTATCCACTCGGTCACAGCCAATTCAATTCAAATTCTTTATTGTCCCACAGGGTGAAATTAGTTTAGCAGCAGGCAAAATAAAAGTAAACAAAACAATAATATAAAATAATAATGACAATAATAGTAATAGAAAGTCACAGGACGGTCATTTGCCACTAAGGAGATGGGATGCAGCAGGGATAAAAGAAACCTGGAGTCTTGGTCTTCCTCAAAGGTACTCTAAAACGGCGCCCAGAAGGCAACAACTCAAACTCACTGTGAAGTGGATGGTTCAAACAATTAACACTAGAATGAGCCTTCCTAAGCATATTTTTGTTGTAAATGGCAAAAAGTCCATCTTGCCAGTGCCCTGAAATTTTGCTAGTAGTTTTTACCAGAAGTCCAAACTTATTCTTATTCTTCACCGTCAGGTTACCAAACCAGGCAGTGAAAAGACATCATTCAATAAAACTACAAAACAAAGACAACATCTCAGATGAGACATTAAAGGATCTCATTTTCCTTAAAAAGAACAGTCTTTGTTGAACTTTTTTAGTAGTGGCATCAGATTGAAATGCAGCTGGATGCCTCTCTTGTGTCCTGGATTGTTGACTTCCACCACTGCACAGAGACCTGTCATCTTCAGAGGTTTTCTGATGACTCTGCAGTGGTTGGATGGATCAATGTGGGTGTTGAGAGAGAGTACCGGGCTGTGGTTGACTCCTTTGTCAATGCGGTGCGAGCACAATCATCTTGATTGTGGACTTTAGGACGAGCAGGAAACCTGCGTCCCCTGCTTCACTCCATTGCCACATACCTAGTTTCAGGGACTAAGATGCACGGAGAGGAATGGAGAATTTGCAATTTGAGAAATGAGACCCAATAAAAACTAAATGTGGAAGACGATAACAAATCACAGCACAGTGTGGTGCATGACCTTAATCATGTGATTTAGCATGTTTTGGTTTTCTTGTTAGCTCACAAAATTTGTGGCATTGTTCCTCCTGATGACTGTTCAGATAAGCCAACTGACCTGACATAACTCATTTCCAAGACAAGCAGCTTGTCCACTCGAGGGCTGGCAGCAGGAGTCAGCCAACATCCTGTTATACAAGAGGCATATAAGAGGTCAATAGAGTCCCATCCTGAGCTGAGGTCCAGAAAGACAGTGGGAGTGCATAATACAGTTTTTACTATAAGTTTTTTGTGTTCACAGAAGGAAAGAAATCCAGGGAAGCCTTGAAATATTGTCATTTACCCTCTCTAACACTCTGCTTCTGATGAAGCTGGACGATAGAGATGATCAAGAAAACTAGTGGTGAAGCAACAAAGACAAGTAATACACCCTTGTGGTTAGGAGCGGAGCAAGATCCCCTTTCCCCTTAGTGGGGTGGGTCACCTTCTCCACAGAGCCTGATTCCACCCAGTAATTCTTCCTCCCAGAGGAAGCATTTGCTTTGCAGGACCTCACGGTCACTGAACAGAAAGACTCCTAATTAGGAGTTTTCAGAGCAGAGACACTGTAAACGCCCCTAGAGAGTTATTGCATGTTTGGTTGTGTAATTAGTTATAGCAATGATAAAGGACTAGAAAACAAAACATTTAGTTTTATAGACTTTATGACACTTTTTGCTGCCGCTGAAGATGGAAAAATAAAAACCTAATTCAAGCATAAAAAAGTGCTCTTACTCAAGTACAGCAGACTGAGGAGGAACACCACCTGGTGAGTAAAACAGCTGTGATCTGTCCTTTTTGAAATTCAGTTTTGGGTAGGAAGTCAGTCACAATGTGGATTAATCTGCTGTTTACCACCCGTCTGTCTGTTAAAGATTATTTAAGATTATCTTATAGTTTGAATAAGCTTTGTAGCAGTACTCTGTTCATGTTATTCACTGCTTTCTCGTCTGTCCAGATAAACCAATATCTGACACTAGAGTACAGTCTGATCTATATACTTACCCAAACATCACCATTTATCTTTGCAAAACCATATTCACCGTTTACTGACGCCATACAATAAGCATCGGTGCTTTAGAACACCCTGCTGGTTATATGTGGTTATGTCACTTGTTCTGTGGTTTTACAGTTGAAGTAATGGAACGTTTTCTGGGTTATTACTTAATTAAGGAATAATTAAACCTGACAGGCAGTTTAAGGCAAATACTGTCAAGCATCCGCTCCTTGCACCCACCACATCATCCCTGCTCTAACGTTTTTTTCTCCCTCATGCTTGTCATACTTGCAGATGTCAGTAAAGTTGTATCGGCTACATGTGTCAGCATCTAGCTACAGAAGCACAGCTGGTAACTTTTTTTGAAGTTTCGAGTAATTTTGGATACAGTGTTTCAAACACTGTATCCAAACACAAGAGAAAAGTCACACATGAAGTTTGTTACACAAAATGCATATCGTACTCCAGCACCAGAGTAAAGGGTGTGAGAGCACTGGCTTGAAATAGAGGAAATAGGTGAATTAAAACTGAAAGTTTTATCTGTCATGTTTTAGAGAGTAAAAATGGACTGAAATGCAGAGACATTGGAAGCAGAGTATAATGAGCCATTTATTTTGGCTGATTAAATAGAGTTAGCAATGTGGTGCACAAAGTTCAGGATTTCAGAGGGAGGGTACGCACTTTTCATGCTTGCAGTTTCTGCATCTGAGCCTGAATCAAGATTTTGACCAATGACAGACCTCTCAGCTGGAGTCAAGGAGCAGTACTTCAGCATTACTACAGCTGTCTTGGCTCTCTGCACAGACTCACTGTGTCCTTTTTAAATATAATGGCATGCCACTGTGGTCGAGGTTCTGCAGCAGGTAATCTGAGATCATTGTACATCAAGTGCATCATTTAAAAGCAGTAAGGCTGCAGCTTCATGGATTATTGCAGTTCACTAATTTTCTTGTTATTGCTAATCTGGTTAATGCAGATTAATGGCTTCACAAGTTAACACACATAGTAAACAAGGTGATTGTTGCAAGCATCAGTTTATCCTGCCTCCAAAGACGTAGCCTGGTTGCCCAGTCTGAAAGAGAGAGGGCTGTTCAGAGACTCCGTATTAATTACGATAGTGCCAGTGATCCATGCAGATGTGGTTACTGTCTGTATATGGTTTCCTCATGCATTCAGCAGACTGAACTTTGCCCTCAGTAATATTTGGACAACTACAGTGGGATGCAAAAGTTTGGGCAACCTTGTTAATAGTCATTATTTCCCTGTATAAATCGTTGGTTGTTACAATAAAAAATGTCAGTTAAATATATCATATAGGAGACACACACAGTGATATTTGAGAAGTGAAATGAAGTTTATTGGATTTACAGAAAGTGTGCAATAATTGTTTAAACAAAATCAGGCAGATGTATAAATTTGGGAACCACAAAAAAAGAAATAAAATCAATATTTAGTAGATCCACCTTTTGGAGAAATCACAGTCTAAACGCTTCCTGTAGATTCCAGTTAGAGTCTGGATTGTGGTTGAAGGTATTTTGGACCATTCCTCTTTACAAAACATCTCTAGTTCATTCAGGTTTGATGGCTTCAGAACATGGACAGCTCTCTTTAACTCACACCACAGATTTTCAATAATATTCAGGTCTGGGGACTGAGATGGCCATGTTGTACTTGTTCCTCTGCATGAATGCCTTAGTGGATTTTTTGATTTTGTTGTCTTGTTGAAAGATCCAGCCCCGGTGCAGCTTCCGCTTTGCACAGTGACTCCATCAGCTGGAAGATGATGTTGTAGGTCTTTGGTGCTGGTCTGTGGGTTGACTGACTGTTCTCACCATTCGTCGCTTCTGTCTATCCGAGATTTTTCTTGGCCTGACACTTCGAACCTTAACTTGAACTGAGGCTGAGGTCTCCCATTTTCTCAACATGTTCCTAACTGTGGAAACAGACAGCTGAAATCTCTGAGACAGCTTTCTGTATCCTTCCCCTAAACCAGA